CTGGCTGCTGAAACTTCTGAGGAAACTGCTGATTAGGCTGTTGAGCTGGCTGCTGAAACCGCTGGTCAGTTTGCTGGAGTATCAGAGCTTGATGATTCTGGGGCAGATTACTCAACTTTGGAAGAGCATGACAGAACTCACACAGTGCCAATAAATGACCCAACCACCAACTTCCAGCCATTGTCCAAGAGTTAATTGCACTATTGAGATGCTGCCCTTTGGTCTTTTTGTACTCTACAGATTTCAGCTAATTAGCTATCGTCCCTCCCTCTTCATTAACACTCATGATTCTCCAGACTTGCATTATTGATAGCTCATGCAACTGGGTGATTCTCATTGGTTCTTAAGATTAAATTCTTATATTTTCCATTTTGAACATAAATGCACAAACTTAAACTGAATTCAAAATATTTTACTAATCTGATTGAAAAAATAAAAGTTACTGTAACTTGCCAAAGGTAGATTTTCAACTTTGGTGCCATTGTCCTTAGCACTCCCTGCAGACAAGTGTGCTCTTACAGATATGACGATATACTATTTTAAGCAGTAAATGACTTTAAATATATGGAAGCTTATTTCCACCTCAGAATAAAAAAATGAAAAAGGTAATTGCAACTTTTTCTCTCAAAATTGACGTTTTTTCTAGAAATTGTGAGTTTCTATCTCACAGTTTGCTTACATCTCAACGATGCTGACTTTATTCTCCAAATCTACCTCTTTCATTCCTTGGGGGAAATAAGCTTCCATTGAAGTATGTAAGTGAAGTTTATTGAAACCACTGGAGAATACAGAGTTAAAGAGAAACCCTGACAGCTTTTTATTCTTTAAGATCAGACCTCAGACTTTCTCTTGTAAAACATGCCTGCTAAAAGAAAAAAAAGAGCAATCCGAGTTAACATTATTAAATCAGTTGACACTTAATGGACAAGACCCCAGCTGCAAACACCAATTTTGGAATGTTTATTTTTTCACAAAACTCAAATACACCAAACTTTTGAACATATTCAGCACTTCAAACTCATTATTAAATACAATTAAAATATGTAGTTTCTTAGCACTATGGTCAAGATGCTTTCCATGATCTGTCTTTGATGGTGCAAGATCAAACATACATTTAAATATAAAAAAAAGTAACCTAAACTACATATGTACTGACATGGTTTAGTATGGAAGGCCGTTTCCGCCACTGAATAAAAAAATTAAAAAGGTAATTGCGACTTTTTATCTCACAATGCAGACTTTTTTTCTCGCAATTGTGAGATATAAACTTGCAATTCTGAGCACAATTTTTTCGCCCTCAAAATTGGACTTTATAACTCGAAATTGCAAGTTTACATCTCACAATTCTGACTTAACTCACAATTGCGTGAGAAAAAAAAGTCACAATTTCGAGATTTTAACTCAGAAAAAAGTCGTAATTGCAAGAAAAAAAATCAGAATTGCAAGAAAAGTCATAATTGTGAGATATAAACTCGTAACTGCGAGAAAAAAATCTGAATTGCAAGTTTTTATCTCACACTTCAAACTTAATTCGCAATTGCGTTTTATAAAGTCAGAATTTAAAGATTTAAACTTGCAATTCTGAGAAAAAAGTCAGAATGTTGAGTTTATATCTTGCAATTCTGACTTTATAACTCGCAATTGCGTGTTAAGTCAGAATTGTTTGAAATAAACTCGCAAAAAAATCACAATTGTGAGATATAAACTCTCAATTGTGAGAAAAAGTCTGAATTCCAAGTTTTTATCTCACAATTCTGACTTAACTCGCAATTGCGTGAGAAAAAAAAAGCACAATTTTGAGATATAAACTCGCAATTCTGAGAAAAACAGTCACAATTTTTTGTTTATATCTCAGAATTCTGACTTAACTCGCAATTGCAAGTTTATGTCAGAATTGTGAGATAAAAATAAGCAACAACCTTCTTTTATTTTTTATTCAGTGGCGGAAATGGGCTTCCATAATGTAGACTGGATAAAACTCTGGAGGTTCTCTGGAAACTGTTTAGTGCATTTATAAAGATTTTCCCATTTCTTTGACAGTGAAGCAGAGGTCTGCAGGTGAGCTGATGGTGACTGACCCCTAGTGGCTTTGGTTTCACCTACTATTCAAATTAAGTACAGCAGACTAATATGAAAGACTTGAGGCTATTATAGATCAGCACTTTCTGCTGTAAACATACAAGAGCATATCTGAATTAGCAGATTTAGAGGAGGCTAGATTTGAAGTGTCCAGTTCATTTCTCGGTGGAGAAGGCCCTCTTCATGAAAGGCGGCGGCGTCTTTCCCGCCTCATAGACTGAATCCGGTAGTGGGGTGCTGAGACAACACCAGTCTGGGATGCGGCCCGTCTGGCTGTAGTAGTCTCTGGACACTGAGCGACTACCTAAAATGTCCTGCAATGCTCCAAATATAGCACCTACATGGGAACAAGAAACAAAACAACCTTGAGTCAATGGCAGAAAATTGTGAAATCCTGGTGTGTTAAAGGAATAGTTCACCCTAAATCTTCGTTTTCACAATTGCTTTAACAAAACATGTTTAGATCTTTTCTCGTCCAATGCAGAGGTCAGAATCTCAGAGCCTCTGCTGTGCCTTTCTTTGCTCACCTCCTAACCAGGCGGTGCAGTTGGGTTTGGCGGGTGGGCTGTGGAAACGGAAGCTCTTGGTAGCCAGAGCATCGTGGTACTTGGGTTTCTCCACCAGCGAGCGGATCTCAGCCAGGAGTCGGTGCAGGAACCCGGGCAGCATGGCCGTACCGCCGATTATCACCAAGTTCTCCGACAGAACCTTGCGAGTGTCGACGGGACACTGGTGAGGAACAAACACAGAACGAACAAGGTGAATGCTGGGAGGACAGCAAATATGTCAACATGTTGGTAGATTGTGGGTGTTGACTGTTACTAAGGTGTTGCTTTGCGATTATATAAATTAAAAATAAATAATAAATAAATTCAGCTTTGGTTATATAAACAAACCAAACAAATTAAGTGATGCGTCGAAGTTTTGGCAACCAAAAATATTTAGCTGAAACCGTTTTGTAAGTGGCTGTGGATAAAAGCGTCTGCTAAAAGATTAAATGTTAATCATGTGTTTCAACCGTCAATAAAACAGCTTGAGATTAATAATGTCACATTTACCTCAGGAGGCATTCAATGACCATAAACCTGATAGTCAGCTAGAAAAAATAACTCTAGGAGGAACATTATGATAAATATATGGACTAAATTACATTTGTTACTGAACTTTTTGTCTTCATTATTTAATGTATGTTCTCTTTCATAGGTTCACTCAATGCTGCGTCGCTATGACGCATTGGGAACCCCCTCTAGGCATGCCGATTGTCTGAAGCCCGTATAGAATCACGCCAATTCATTGGCTGATGGCGCCGGCCCTGCTCTTGCGTTGCTGTCCTTATACTGACGAACGCGCCTCAGATTTCTCTGCCTTCATGAAGCGGCCATTTTAGCCCTTCTGTTGTGATTTTTCTGGCCCGATTTCAGACTGTTTTTCATCAGCTTTCTTCATTTGCACTTCAGCGACTGCTAGAGTGGAACTCCGTTCTCCTTGCGGTGAAGTGCCATGGAGTACCGTCGTTGCCAGCCACAGTGTTCTCGCTTCATTGCGAGCGACGACCCTCACAGTAAGTGTGTTAAATGTTTGGGTTTTTCACACGCGCGTGAGGCGGTTCACGGCGTTTCACAGCGTTTCTCAATTCAAATTTTGCGAAAACCTCCGTCTCAAAACCCTCCGCACTAGGCTCGCGGTTTTTGACAAGGAGTCATTCGTCTTTCCCCGTCGCACTCCGGAGGCCGCAGCCCTCTGTGAAGCCGCGACCTGGGGTTCGGATGTGGAACTCTAGGCGATGGAGAGCGAGCAGACGGGCCTCGCCCTTTCTCTCCCTCTCTCGCCCGAGCGCGTGCGCGCAGATTCGCCGGTTGAATTCGCGCATGATAATTTATGCCCTAGCCCAGAGGCGCACGATGTGATTTCTTTCGGGCTAGAGGACGTTTTGTACACTGCGGCATCCGACTCTGAGGATTTTGGGCCTGCTTCAGCCGACGCTTTCCCACCTAGCGGCCGGGAAGCGCGGCCCTCCGCGGCCTACTCGGCGCTCGTAGACATGCTGGCGTGCGCCACAGAGAAGCTCTCTATTGATAGGCCCGATGAGTCCCGCGATTCCCAGTCATCTAAGCTCGACGAGCGGTACCTGAGCGGCCCAAATTCGAGGCCCGCATGGAGAAAGCTGCCCTTTCTCAGCGATCTGCATCAGGAGATCTCCAGATCCTGAAAGCAGCCATTCTCTGCCCGCCTTGCTAACGCGGCAGCCGCTGACTTCAGCAACCTAGTGGTTTCTGTGGAGCAGGGCTATACCGTCATCCCGGCGATCAAGGATAAGCTAGCTACGCACCTCTCTCCATCTTCAGCTTCTTCCTGGAAGTCCCGCCCTCTCCTTCCGACTAAACCATGTAGGACCACTTCCGCCCTTATCGGAAAGTCCTACATGGCAGCTGGTCAGGCAGGCATGGCCCTTTATACTATGGCCATTCTCCAAGCCTACCAAGCGGATGTCCTTAAGGAGATGGACGAGGGGGGCGATCTGACCCCAGAGGCGGTCAAGGAGCTCCGCAGAGCCACAGACTTGGCTCTGAGAGCCACCAAGCACACCGCGCATGCTATAGGGTGCTCTATGGCGGGTTCGGTGGCTGCAGAGCGCCACTTGTGGCTTAAGATCACAGAGATCACAAGTTTTTCTCCTTGACGCTCCCATCTCTCAGTCTGGGCTATTTGGGGAGGCAGTCAACTCTGTGGTTGATAAATTTCGGGCAGCCAAATCCCAATCAGCAGCCCTCAGGCAGTTTATGCCCAGAAGGGCACGGGAGCCCCCTAATCCCTCCTGGCCCAGAGAGCGCTCCTTGCCCAGGAAGGAGACCGCCAGTAGGAGCAGTGACCCGGGTCGTCCCCCACCACCAACGGTCTGGGGAGCCCGAGGCCGCCCATTGCCCCACCGGCGACCTCGCAGGCGGCTTGAGCTGAAGCGGTCTGACAGACCCCCTGCTTCAGCTCCATCAAGTCGCTCTTGACTCTCGTGTCAGGAAGAGGGCAGCTTCTCCCGCCTTACAAGGCTGGGCCAGACCGTGCAAACTTTTCGTCCCGCTTCTAAAATGCTCCCCTCATTTACACACTTCAATTCGGTCGCAACCCCCTCGCTTCGACGGGGTTCACCTGACTGTAGTGGGCAGCGCCTCAGAGGCTTCTGTCCTACAGCAGGAACTATCTTCCCTTCTCCTCAAGGGGGCGATAGAGGAGATTCCTCCAGCGGAAGTGGAACGTGGCTTTTTCAGTCGCTATTTTCTCGTCCCAAAGAAGGACGGCGGCCTACATCCTATTCTAGACCTTCGCCGACTGAACTACTCCCTTTACAAAGGGAAGTTCAAGATGCTTACGCTGAAGGCTATTATGTCTCAGATTCGAGGGGGAGACTTGGTTTGTCAACGTCGACCTGAAGGATGTTTATTTCCATATTCAGGTCATTCGGCGACACAGGAAGTTCCTCAGGTTCGCCTTTGGGGGAAAGGCTTACCAATACAAGGTTCTTCCCTTTGGCCTAGCCTTGGCACCAAGGACATTCACAAAGTGCATGGATGCTGCTCTGGCCCCATTGAGGCTCCAGGGCATCCGTATAGGCAATTACCTGGACGATTGGCTCATTTTGGCCCACTCCAGAGAATTAGTGAGTCACCACAGGGATGTCCTCCTTCGCCACATGCGGTCTCTTGGCCTCAGAATGAACGCCAAGAAGAGTGTTCTCACCCCCTCTCAACAGACGGTTTTCTTGGGGGTTCACTTGGATTCCATTCAGATGCAGGCCCGTTTGGCTCCTGCCCGGATTTCCAGCCTAAATGCATGCATGGCCCGCTTCAAGCTAGGCCATCATGTTTCTGTAAGCACTTGTTGCAGGCTCTTGGGCCTCATGGCCACAGCCTCCCCTGTGCTGCCCCTGGGGCTGCTTCATATGAGGCCGTTCCTTTGGTGGATGAAACTCATAGGGATCCGCTCGACAGGACCAGCCTCTCGCCAAGTAAGAATGTTGCACATTTGCTTTCGTGCACTTTCAATGTGGCAGGACCCCCTCTTTCTTCAGAGAGGGGTCAGTATGGGCACTGTTCACTGTCGCCAAATGGTTACGACGGACGCCTCTCTGACGGGCTGGGGCGCGGTCTTTGAGGGCAGGCCAGCGTGCAGTGTTTGGCCGGAAGAGTTTCTCTCCTGGCACATAAACAGCCTGGAGCTGAGAGCCGCCTTTCTGGCACTGATACACTTTCTCCCCTCTCTCGAGGGGTGTCATGTGATTGTCAGGACAGACAACATGGCGGTAGTATCTCATATAAACCGCCAAGGGGGTTCACGGTCCCGCACCCTGGACAGGCATGCGCGCCGTCTTCTCCTTTGGGCTCAAGGCAGATTCCTCTCCCTGAGAGCGGTTCATTAAAGGCCACCAGCTTTGACTTCTAGTCTTCCTGCCGATGTTCAGGAGACCATTGCTAGTGCCAGAGCCCTTTCCACAAGGAGACTGTATTCCTCCAAGTGGAAGGTCTTTTGAGTCATGGTGTTTAACCCATGCGGTGGACCCAGTCAACTGCCCTATAGGTCCAGTGCTGGAGTTCCTGCAAGAAAAACTTGCAGCGGGAGCGGCGGCTACTACCCTGAGAGTTTATGTTGCGGCCATCGCCGCACGGAGAGAGTTGGATGACATTCCCCTGGGGAGACATCAGTTGGTCTCAGCGTTTATGCGTGGAGTTCGGCGTCTGAGACCAGCACGCCCCCTTGGAGCTCCTTCTTGGGACTTATCAGTCATCCTGGAGGGCATAATGGAAGCTCCTTTTGAGCCCTTGGAGTCAGCTCCAGAATGGATTCTGACTCTCAAGGTTGTTTTTTTGTTTTTGTTTTCAAGGTTTTGTCTGCATCTTTTCGGTCTCAGGTGGTGACCCTTCACTCTTTCCATCCTCCTCCTTTTGCTTCAGGGGAGGATGAGAGACTTCACATGCTCTGTCCTGTCTGAGCTTTGACGCTCTATGTGGATCGTTCTAGCCAGTGGAGGAAATCTCCGCAGCTGTTAGTATGCTTTGGTGCCGTGGGCTTGCCGCGTCAAAGCATAGAATTTCACACTGGGTTAGGGACGCTATTTCACTGGCATACGAGGTGCGTGGTCTTTCTTCACCTCTCAGCATTCGAGCGCATTCCACCAGGGCTGTGGCTTCCTCTCAAGCTCTTTTTAGGGGAGTCCCTCTAGAGGATATTTGTGTAGCGGCAGGATGGTCCTCTCCGCACACTTTTATCAGGTTCTATATTCTATATTCTTTATTCATTGGATCTTGAAACGGCTCCTGGTTCTGTCCGCTTGAACCAGCCGGGGATACAATCTGGTTCTTCATTGGGTCAAATACGGCAGAGCTTTAGCTTGGCGTGTTTGGTATATCATTCCCAATGCGTCATAGCGACGCTGCGTTGAGTGAACCTATGAAAGAGAACGTCTCGGGTTACTTGTGTAACCCATGTTCTCTGAATAGGGAACGAGACGCTGCATCTGCTGCCAAGCTCCTCGCACTGCCGACAAGAGGTCTTTTTCGGCAGAGAAATCTGAGGAGCAGATGGCGCGTTCGCCAGTATAAGGACGGCGACGCAAGAGCGTGGGGCGGCGCCCGCGCCATCAGCCAATGAATTGGTGTGATTCTATACGGGCTTCAGACAATCGGCACGCCTAGAGGGCGTTCCCAATGCGTCATAGTGACGCAGCTTATCGTTCCCTATTCAGAGAACATGGGTTACACAAGTAACCCGAGACGTTTACACAAATCAAGTTTTTTACAGCCACTGTTTATATTTCAACAATGAATTATTAATTAGCAGATATAAAAACTGCCTTATGTGCAATTTAGATGTTTATATACAACTCAGTTTTCACTTGAGTGTTGATTATAAAAATAAATGTGATAATTAATTAATTTTCGGTTTTGATTTATGGCTAAATGAAAACTAAAATTTTTGGAACATGAGATTTTTCAAAAGTACTTGTCACTAGAAAGACTTTCAGAATTTATCGTCACATCGAATAAAACAAATGAAAGGAACTTTTCAGGAATAAAACTGTCGCCTGACGTCATAATAAGATGAACCAGGCAGTGGTCAGAGAGTCCTACAGCTGCTCAAGCTTAAGTTACTGTTTATAAGGTTTGAGAAGAATCTCTGTCTAGCTGTGGCTAGTTCCACATTGAAAGCATGAAGGCTGTCTTTATAGATGCTGTAGTGAATTTCAAGTTTCGTCTTCCGACACATCCGCTCAGCTTTTCTACATTGTCTTTTCATACTCTGTACTGCTGTTGATTTTCTCCAAGCTGATTTTTGTCTGCCAGTCATCTTACTGACTTTTACAGGAGCAATATCATCAATAACATTCTGAACTT